GTTGTCACACGGGTGGATGGGCCTCAAAACATCAATGTGAATAGTTTTGTCTTGAACTACTACCTCGAGGTCCATGGCGCCAGGATCGCGCCGCATGTCAGCCTTCTCGGCATGGCTCCTCACAAGCTTTGTCTGCTTCGGTGGCGTTTTGAACAGAGAGGCCTTTGCCTGGGTCAGCTCCTGTTTGAGCTCGTCCGCTTGCTTCTCGTTCCGCTGGGCGATCAAAGACTTCAGCCCCCTGCTCAAAGCCACTGCCTGCTGCTCCAGCCCGCGTGGGAGGGCATCGTTCTTATAAGCCAAAAGGCTGTTCAGCGTATACTGCGCTGGTGCGATTCGCACGAAAGTCTCATCGCCGATAGTAGCCATATCACATGGCCTGTGAATCCGCCAAACTGGTTTTACCCCCTCCAGCTTGACGGTGCGGCAAAGTTCAAGCGTTGCTTTCTGCATTACGCTAACAGTAATTCGTGATGCTCTATCCCTGGTCGTTTGAGCCAAATGGCTGAGGTTCGATTGCGTCCTAGGAAGGTGACGCGACGTGGACGACGTCATTGAGAGGGGGCGAGGTGGGGGGCCGCCCCATGAGATGAGCGAGAGAGGCCACGGAGCCAGGAGAAGGAGGAGGGAGGGGGGTGATGAGAAAGACGACATATGCGACTTACACTTAGGCTCATCTGCCCCGCATGGCGCATCAACTCGCTGGCATGGACAGTCCTCGAAGGCTCGGGGGCGCCACAAAGCCCTGCAGAAGCACGGCATGGCATCGCATATCGAGAGTATACTGCAGGGTGAACCCAAGATGGCCGATCGCATGGCATCACATAGCACGTCAGTTGTTTCGCCCCGCGGTTCGCTGTCTTCGCAAGCCCCCTTGCGATATATTCATGACGGCCTCGCCGAAGCGAGAATTCTAATGTTATCGTTCTCTCGTTCTATCTGTGACATCCCATCATCATCGCCCCTCCTCGTGGAGCCGACCATTTTTGGATGGTTGTTTGACCTGATTCTCCCCTCCCCCCTTTTCACCACTCTTGCGCGCCCTGGTTCGGCGCCGCCCTAAACGCAAAGACGCGGCTAAGGGAAGACATGACCAATAGGGGCAACTGTTGGAGCCCACGGGCTTGAGGGAATGAATGAAGCAGACGGACTGCGGGCGACCAGTCAGGATCAGAGTAGCAAATGCTGACCCCCCGCAGCATCTCGCTCCACACTCGCAATGTTTTTCCTATGTCAGTGCAAGGCTGCGTCAACTGCCTGATAAGCGCATGGCTGGTAAACCCGTTCGCACGCAAAAGGGATGCGTCCGACATCACAGCTTCGTGCTAGCCGACGGGGCAACAGCGCGACCTCCACCCTCATCCTCGCTCCTCCTTATACTATCCCCTGCTACTGCGCGGCAGCATATGACTGTAGCACTGCAGAGTGCTGGGGGTGCCCTGGATTAGAACTCGAGATATTGCAAAAGTGCGATGCAAAACACACCCCTCTGTAAACTAGCACCCGTGGCTGATGGATGCTGTTCAAGCCCTCTTCTGCTTCTTGACGCTCTGCTCGTGGATTGGCACCTCCTTAGCCTTGGGCTTGACGAGCATCTGGAGCTTCACATTGGGCCCGATGTCGGTATTGTTGGTGAGCACTGGCAACATTAAGCCACCGTGCGACACGTGGCTCGTAGCCATGTTGGCTTGCTTCTTATCGTAGGTTGGCGCGACCCACCAGTGTGCAGCCACCAACGCGGCTTCATCGAACAGGGTGCTGGTGTCATTGTCTTGCGGCTTAGATGCAGGCAACACAAAAAAGTGAACCTTGGTGTCTTTGTCAATTGCATGCTCGCCAAGTGAAATGCCAGACCCATTGTTCTTCGCACTTATGTTGATGAATGGAACCACTGGGACCAAAGTAAGCTGGCCCTGCTTGATGGCGCTAGTAGTCCACACCCCGTCTGGCTTCCGCCAGAACGCCAGCTTATGCTTGCCCACGTGCTTGGCATCCAGCTCAAGGAGAGCTCGGTACAACGCAGCCTTCTGCTTGTCGATGTACAGCTGTTGCGGGCGCTGCTGATCACCATCCATCTGTTTTGACAGCACAGCCTTAGATATTGACCACTTCTGAAGAAGATCCTCAAATGTAATCTCAGCCGTATGTGGCTCTCGGCTCGGGTCGTGGTTAACAGCTTCGCGAAGCTTGACAGTCTGACCGATGCTGAAGATAGTATAAAGCATCTGGACTGCAACGTCCTTCTGGACTACAAAGCACCCCACCGAATACCCAGCCTTCTTGGCAATCCATGTCGGGTCCTTATGGTCGCTGAGCGTCGCCGTGCTGGATGCGCTCGGCTTCGCTTTGGCAGCGGCTGCAGCGCCGCTCGAGACCGCGTGTTTAGACCACTCGTCGAACGTTACCCTGTGACCCTTGAGGTCGCTGAGGCTGGTCAGAAATGAATTGCATATGTCGCCCCATTTAAAATCCTTGCCCTCCCGACCCATCTTCTCCTTACCTGTGAGCTTCAACGCAATCCTCACGAATAGCTGACCTAATGGCTGCAACGCCGCATCGATGCCATCAAGCCCCCTTGCGATATCCATGGCTTCGCCAAGAATGCTTTCAGCAGTAATTGCTTCAGCCATCCTAGGCTTGCTAGCAACCTTTGTGACGTCATTCTTCACAAGCAAGCGCGCCGCGCCGTCCTCAACCTTGTCACCCGTGAGGTTTGCAATTGCAAGTGCCACCCGAATCAAAGGATACATGTTGGTTTTCGATGCGAAAGCTGTGTTCGTAATCGATTCCCAGAAAGCTTGCCCCAACGTAGTGTTGCAACCAAATTGCTTTGCAACCGAGTCCATGAACGACACGAGAGGAGCGCCATCGCCACCTCCGAAATTCTCGACAAACTCAAGCAATGTCTTGCTGTACTTCGCGCTCGGTACGTTGAGCGAAACTACGTTCTCGATAGCCATGGCTTTCCAATCCGCAAGCTGGCGCATTCCTGGGTCGTTGGCAATCGCCGCCAACGTCATGCAGGTCTCCAGCTCCCCGACCTCCGTGCCGATGTGGTTCTGAGTGTTTAAAGCCTTCTGGGCTACTGAGGCGAAGCCTGGGAACAGCTCGTCAATGATACTTGGGACCACCTCCCACGCCCAGCCTTTCTCAATCATGGCTTTGAATTGTACATTCTGGGACAACTTCTGCACGTCAATCGTATCTGAATCAGCCGTCTGCAATGACTTCTCCGACGTCCTGCCCTGCACCCCTGCCAACTTGCAGAAAGCCGTGGTGTGTCCACACCCGACTGTAACGTACCGCTCGGAGCCATTAACTGGCGCTAGAAGCCCATCGGCTCTGTCCACCAGCGCCCTGTTCTTAGCAACGTGCTGCCAACGGATGGGGGAGTTGACTCCAAGCTCGATGCAAACGGCATTTGATAGCTGGCGCATGTCGGCACCAGCTGCATGAATCCGAGCTGCATTGCGATGCACATTGTGCGGGCTCAGAAGAAGCCCTCCACGGTTTGCACTGTGCGCGAGAAAAAATTTCGGCTCGATGCTGTTCATTGTGTACGCCAACTTGTGTGCCCGAAGGCAGGTCATCAGCATATCCATATGCTCGTTCGCCTTCATTTTTTTCAAATTCAGAATCTTCTGGAACTCCGTTTTGAAAGCTTCGGTAAGCTGAGACATAGCTGAAGAAAGCTGCTGGAAGCTATAGCGAATGCTTTAAGCCGCAAATCCTGCAACTACGGATGGCAAAATGCAACTGCAAAATCACAAAATATATCTCGAAACCGTCGTGTCCGATGCTCATACCTCTCATCCACAGTTCAATGTTGAACATCTGCTCTGCATGCTGATGTTGAGTTCGCTGAGCTATCTCTAGGTAAAAATCACCGAGTTTTTCAGAGCCAGGTCGCCTACAAATGGGTTCGGACATGTTCTTTGGATTCCCAGCATGAGCTGAGTTAGCAAAGGGAACATATGTTTGGTTAGCAACGGAAGATATGTTTGGTTCGAAAAAAATCAACGTTTGGTTTGCATCGGGAGCTATGTTGAACCGTGGAGATCTGCTTGTGTTGGGCCTTTGAGAAAAACGAGATCAACATTTTTCTGAAAAAGTTTTTCATGTTATAACTATTCTGAGCATCATGTTATCCTATTCGAACACTTATGTTACCTTAACATAATGTGTTTGAACTTCAAATTTTGGGAAAAAAAAACTATGTTAAACTAACATAAAAAGCTATGTTAACATGAGATAAATGAGTTATCAAAGTTATCACAGTTATCCAACATAAACCATAAACTGTTTAGCAACATGTAAACCTTTATACAGTTTATGTTGAACTACTAAAAGCCACGCTGGCTTTAGCTAAGTATGATAAACAAGCTTACTAGCTACAGCAGCTTGCTGCTGCTTTGTGAAAGGGTTGTATGGACGTTGTACCAACCTTAGCAACTCGCTATAAAGCTCATAAGCTTTAACAAAGCCGACGTTCATCTCAGTAGGGCTATTGGGCTAAGGCACCCCCGGGCACTTCTGGGCACCCCCGGCACCCGGGCACCCTTGGGCACCCGGGCACCCCCTGGCACCCCCGGGCACCCGGGCACCCGGCCCCGGCCACCGAAATCGGCCACACACCTGGGCACCCGGGCACCCCCGGGAACCCCCGGGCACCCGGGCACCCGGCCCCGGCCACCGAAATCGGCCGCTCACCTCACCTCAGCTTTATATCCGCTAGGACCCCTACAGAGGCAAGCTCTGATTGGGGAATAAACATAAACTTTTGGCGCTCCGCGCAGATTTCTTGGATCCGCGTCTGGGCCCCCCAGCGGCGCCTCCGGCGCCGCCCCTTGGCGCGCTCCGCGCGCCAGGAAGGGGGGGTCCAGCGCGAATCCGAGAACTCCGCGCGGAGCGCCACAAAAGTTTATGCTTGTGTGGCTCCTTCTTCTCCTTTTTCTGGCAGCACCTCGACCTGCACATGGCATCGGAGGATCGCGCCTCCACAGGCTGCCCGGAGCGGCGCCCCGCCTGCCCCGGGCGCCGCCCCGGGCGAGGAGGAGCCCGGGCGGGCGCTGGCGGTGTCCTGCCGGGAGCTGCGCCTGGAGCGCGCGCCCGCCGTGCTGCAGGGGTCCCCAGCGCGGCTTTTGCCAGCCTGGAGCGTATGCCCCCACCCAGAAGAGCTTGGCATCGCTCGGACGTGTGCATTTTTCCTTCGGCGAGGACCATCGAGGCACATCCTTGATCATTTGGCGAAAAAGCCACGCACGAAACCGAAAAAAAAACACAGGGAATGGACGTCCGAGCGATGCCCAGAGAGAGAGGGCTGCTCATGCCGCTGCCCTCGAGGGCCCCTCGCTTCCCTTGCTGGGGGCCCTCCTGGGAGGCCCTCCTCGCCACCGCCGCATCCGCCTCGAGAAATCCTCGTCGGGACGCACCCCCAGAGAGAGGTGCGGGGAGTACCGGCCATGGGTAAGTTTGGGCTTCACACCTGAGGTTGGGGCGCTGGTCCACGAATGTGCCCATGCGTCCTCAGACCCTGGAGGATTCCTTATCCGATGAGGGCGGCGGTGATATCCATGGCTAAGCCTCAGCCGGTGTTCCACCGGCCTCCAGGCCCTGGATTCTCTTTCTAAGGGTTCCTTATCCAGTGCCGTCACCATACTATCCTTACGTTTGGCATCGCCTTACCCCGGTGCCGATCTTCAGGATTCCCTCCATCTCTGAGGGCGCACCCCTACGCATCCCTGGGACTGCCATCGCCTTGGGGTTGCCCATCGTAGGGACAGGGATAAGTTCGAGGTTGGCTAACGACCCTAAGGCCCAGGCCACCAACGACTCGCGACAAGAAGCGCGACGGGCAGTTTCGGCCTCTGGGGGCCATCGCCGGGCCCCGTAGGAGTGTCAAGAAGGAACTCGGAATGAGAAGTTGGTCCTGGGGAATGGGTCCAGACTTATGGGAGTGCTCGTCATGGACGAATCATGGCGTCGGGCGTCTGGAGATCGGGGCCCTGCAACTTGCTCACCACGGGCGTTTTCGCTGGGCTTCGAGCGCGGGGCATGCGCGAATAAACACAACCCGCACCCGTGGTGTCGCGGCCCAGGGGCCTTGCACGCGAGGCCGTAGATACTCCAGATTTCGTAATAAAGGGAGGGGGGTCTCATTTCGGGGGGGGTCTCTTCCAGGCTATCTTGGAGGGCCTGGGGGGGTCTGGGGACGGTGTTTTGGAGGGTTCTCCCACGGGGGAGGTCTGAAATGGCTTGTCTTGGAGGGTCCAGACCCCCTCCCTTCTATTACGAAAACTGGAGTACGTCTACGTTTCCCGCCCACGAGGTCCGGCGACCTCGCCGGGCTGCCCCGGGAGTGCCGCTTCGACGGCAGCTGCCTGCTGGTCTGGCCCCAGGGCGCCGCGCACCCGCCGCAGCTGCTGGCCAAGGTCGGGGCGTGGAGGCGGCCGGGGGGGCAACGTTAGGGGAGGCTGGGGCGAGAAAAGGGGGGGGGCGCATCGACCCCCAAGCGCCCAGGGATCGCCTTGCGCGGCAGCCTGGTGGCCTCTGGCCGGGCACGTGCCTCGACAGGAGGGGCATGCAGAGATAAAATCCAGAGATGCTCCGGGGACGACGTTTCGGGTATTGTTGTTACCATGTCTGCGTAATTATTTGTTGACTCTGTTTTTTCGCCCAAGGGTATCCCTTGCAGGAGGCAAAGCAACACGAAGATCGGGACAAAATCGGATCGGGATAACTCGAAATCTCTGAGAATCGGCGGGTTTGGAGGATGTATTGGGCGCCGCGGCCGCTCCAGAGCGTTCCGGAACGCTCTGAGAGCGCTCTGGAACGCTCTGGAGCGATGTATCCCGATCTTAGCCCTGTTTTAGGAGGACGTGCCCGGCCTGATGGTGGCCCACCCCGCCCAGGGGCGTGCAGATTCGCCATCGGGTGTGCATCGCCGCTCCGATGGCGGCGCGTCGCCGCTGCCGGGTCGATGCGTGCCCCCCCCGAGCTGGCCCCACTCGGCCTAGCGTTGCCCCGCAAGGCTGGACTGGGCCCTGAAGGTTCCAGGGGGGGAGCAAAACTCGGGGGTGGACAGACCTCCTACCCTGACACGTCGATTAAGGAATTGGCCGTTTTCGGTTCGCTGGAGGGCGTCGCGGCTGTCATTTTTGCGGGTCTGGGTCCGTCGGTTTCGGTCCCAGGCCGTTTTCACTAAAGGGAGGTTTACTAAAGGGAGGCTTGTCCACTACCGAAAAACACGCGGACACAATGAATCGTCGACTGCGGGGAGAGAAGATGTGACGATCTGGGAAGTGTGGGGGGGGAGGAGGACAAAAACCCAGAGGATGTGGGGACAGATCGGGGATCCTGGGATCTGTGCCTGTTTCTTTGTGTGTCCCAGGGCCCTTTATAGGTGCTGGTCTCCCTCGCAGCGGTGGGCGCCTGCGCCGCGGCGCTGGCGCTGCTGCTGCCGCCTGGCCTGGACCTCCACTGCGTCCAGCTGCCCACGTCGACGAGGCTGCCCCGGCGCAGAGGGGGGTGGGGGGGAGGGCGGAGGGCTTCTCAGAAGCACCCCTGCTTCTTCGAAGGCGCGGGGCTCATCTGTAGATGTAATGAAGGCCGGCGCCTTCCAAGAAGCAGCCTCCTGCCAAGAAGCCCTCCCCCCTCCGTCCACCCCCTTGTGCGCCCCGCCAGAAGGCTGCCCCTGCGCGCCTTCTTCCTGATGGACGGCTCTCGTCGGGGGTCCAACTCGAAGAAGAAAAGCTGCACGAGCAGAAACTTTTGGCGCTCAGCGCGGACTCCTTAGATCCGCGCCAGCCCCCCGGCGGCGCCTTCAGCGCCGCCCCTGGCGCGCTCCGCGCGCCAGGTCGGGGGGGTCCGGCGCAGCTCCGAGAGAGCCGCGCGGAGCGCCAAAAGCTTCTGTGTGTGCCGTTTGTTCTTCTGCATCCACGGTCGGGAGCTTCTGCTCAGCGTGTCGCGACGGGCCCCCTGGAGGCGCGCCAGTTGTGCCTCACGAGCGCACGGCGCGCCGCTCCGCTCCCGCGGAGCGGGAGGCCAGGAAAGGCGCGGGGCGCTGACGCCTGGGGACGGAGCGGCGGCTCGCGCGCCGCGCCGAAGCGCGAGGGGCCAGAGCCAGCGGCGCGACACGCTGTGCAAAAGCTCCTGGCCTCGTGGGCGGAAAAGAGGGGGGTGATGACTAGGCGGGGGTGGATATCATGGCGCGGGCCATGATATTTCCCCAGATCTCATGGCGCCTCTTCTTATTTCGTTACGTCCCTGGCCCCCCCGCTGGGCCGCGCACATGCCGTCGGTCATGATTTGCACCCCCCCTCTTGGACACCCCCCTCTTGGCCGCTCCCGATGGTCCCGCGGGTGGAAACCACGCCCGTGTCCGCGGCCTCGCGGGCTCGGCCCCTGGGCCGCGCCCCCGCGGGCACGAGGCGCTCTTTGTGCGCAGATGCCCCTGCGCGGAGCGTCGCCGCGCGACCGCGTATAGTGCCGCGGGATCGCGCCCCGGAGTCCGGGCCGCCCGGATCGGGCCGCTGCTCGCGAGGCTCTGGCTCCGTGGGCACGCCGGGGTGGGAGAGCGAGAAGCACGCCGCCGTGGGCATCACGCAGGCGTTCCAGGGCGTCTACTCCGGCGGCAGCGGCGCGGGATCCCTGCACGTCGGGGCCACGGAGTTCGCGAGTCGAATCAGCAACCTTGTCCACATGACAGACGACATAGCCGAGGCGAGCTTGCAGATCCAAGGGATGGGCTACTCCGGTGGTGGAACGGTCTATTCTGATGCACTGCAGACGTGCCAGGACGAGTTGGACAACTACACGAAGGCTGGCAAGCAGACGTTTGACCTGTGCGTGATGATTACAGATGGTCTGTCGGAGGACGTGCACTCGCGCGCAGATGTGGCCAGGTACCTGAAGAACAGCACATCCTTATTCGGAATCTTCGTGGGGTCTGACACTTCGGGATCGTCAACATTGCAGGACATCAGTTCGCCCGGTTTCTTCGCGTCCGCATCTGACTACAACGAGCTGAAACGCAGAGCGGCGGAGATCGCCGCGCACGTCAAGAAGGCATCCGACGACCGCGGAGGCAAGGTGGTGGTCGAGGACCCGCTGCCCTGGTGGTTGCCACTGTGCGTCCTGGGTCTCTTGCCGTTCCTCGCATGGTGGATCTACCTGCTGCTCCCGAAGCCGCGCCCGACCCGGCCAGCACTCGTGATACCGCTCGTGCGGCCTGGGACACCGCAGCGATTGCGGGCCGCGGGCCGCAACGAGGACCGCCCCGGTGCGGGCTGAGCAGCGCCATCATCCCAGACAGATCGTCGTCGTCCTCCTCGTCGTCGTCCTCGTCGTCGTCCTCGCCTCCGCATCGAGATCCCCCCCTCTCTCGGCGAGCACCCGGACGCTGCACGGGCACGGACTCTCGGAGGCCGCACGGGCGTCCTGGGGCGGCACCGGAGTCACTGGAGTCCCCCTCCCCACGCCCCTCCGGCGCCGGCCCCGCCGCGCTCCGCGCCGCGCCTCGCGAAGGGGGGCTTCGAGGGGGGCCCAGGCGACGACCCCAGGGGGGGGTCCGCGCGGACCTCCGGAAGCTCACGCTATTGTGCCGTGGTCTGTGGTGCTCCTGTGCGGGGGTCGACCCGAACGGTGTTTCGGCGATCTCGTGGTTCTCGTTCCCGGTTCCGCTGCGTGTTGCAGCAGAGGGCGGGTTGGAGGCGGAAGCGAGGGCCAGACGAAAGCGAAGCGAGCACGGAGAGCACTGTTTTGGTCGAGCTTTGTCCTGTCCTGCTCCGGCGGTGCACACAGAAGGGGGGGAGGCCAGGTGCTGCTAGAGGTGCCCCCCGCCCAAGGTGCCCCCGGCTTCTCGCTCCAGTTTGGAGCCCCTGGGACCCACTGGTCCTCCTCCTCCTCCTCCTTCTCCTCCTCCTCTTCCTCTTCCTCCTCCTCCTCCTCCTCCTCCTCCTCCTCCTCCTCCTCCTCCTCGTCCTCCTCCTCTTTCTCCAGCTCACTAGTGCAAGGGGTCCCCTGCTACGGTGGAGCGGCCCACCACCACAGGGTAGGGGGCCGCGCGCACCAGGCAGCCCCCGAAAGCCAGCAGAAAACGGGGGCCTGCATCCATATGTTTACCCAGCGGTCTTGTTTTTTTTGTAGGCAGTGTGACTCAGACCCCCAAGGGCTTTACATCGGCCCAATGAAAGTTCCTGGAATTTTCATCACGACGCTGGCCGGCGGAAGTCGACGGAAGTAAAACGAGGCGGAAGACGGGGGAAGGCCGCCGGAAGGCTTGCCAATGTCAGCGGAAGTCAACGACGCCCCTTCCGAACCCCCTACCCCCGTAGAAGCCTAGCAATGTTGTCTTCCTCCGTGGGCCGGGCGGGATCCCGCTTGGCTTATTCCGCTTTAATATTATAAGTTTAGTTCAGGACGATCAAAATCCCACCCATTAAAAATGGGGTAGACCAAAATCCCGGGCCGTTCACGGATCCCACCATGCTGGGATCGGCTCGAAGTAAGATGGGGCTCATAAGTTGCAGTATTATTGCCGTGTTGGGGTCGTCTTGAGGTCATCTTGAGATCATATCCCGGTCATATTTGGATCACGCAACCATCGCGTGGTCATTATGAGGCCACACTGGGTGCGCTTGGAACCATCTTGTTGCCATCGGGCCATCTCGGCGTCACGCGTTGCTCATGTGTTTCGCCACCTGCGAGTCGGCCTGAGACGGTCCAGAATCCATGGCGGGATCGCGTTGGGGTGGCATCATCCTGGGTCCTCTGGACGTTATCGTCCGTGGCCTGAGGCATTCCTGGAAGCATGTTGTGGCCATGGGGCGTCTTGGGATCGCGTGCGTGCGAGCGCTGAGCACGCGCGCGCGACTTTTCATCTTGCCAACGGGTTTACATACATATTATTCCTCTTGCGAGTTTCCAAGGAAACTTTTGTCGGAGCCAAGTATCCTTATCCTCTTCCTCTTCCTCTTCGTCCTCCTCCTCCTCCTCCACTTCCTCTCTTCCTCTTCGTCCTGCTTCTCCTCCTCCTCCTCCTCCTCCTCCTCTTCGTCCTCCTCCATTCCTTGTCCTTACAAATAACTTCTCCCTGTCGCACCCCGAGGCCAGTTTCTCGGGCGGGCCGGGCGTTTCGCCCGAGACTTCTTCACCATCTATGATTCTGAACCTTGAACATTGGCAAGAGCTTCACGGATTGAGGGCGGCTGGCTTTCAAAATGTGGCTCTCGTCTTAGTGTCGCGCACATGTGTTTCAGAAATCTGCAAGAGCTTCACGGATTGATGGCGGCGGCTTTCAAACTGTGGCTCTCGCCTTAGCGCCGCGCACATTCGTTGAAAATTGCAAGGGCTTCATGGATTGAGGGTGGGTGGTTTTCAAAATGTGGCTCTCGTCTCAGCGCCGTGCACATTCGTTCTGAACATCTGCAAGAGCTTCACGGATTGAGGGCGGGTGGTTTTCAAACATGTGGTTCTCGTCTTGGTGTCGCGGACATTCCTTTAACAAATTACAGGGGTTTCACGGATTGATGGCGGGCGGTTTTCAAAATGTGGTTCTCGCTTTAGCGCCGCGCGCATGCGTTTTGAACATGTGCCAGAGTTTCACTGATTTCCATGACCAACGTACCAGCAATGGTGTTTTGGAAGGTTTCAGGATTATGCGGGCACAACAAATATGTTGATCTGCGGTGTTGAAGTCCAAAAAATTACGTTTTGGCGCGATTCCAGATCGTCAGGACGCAGCAGTCAGGTTGATCCGTGGCGTGGGAATCCAGACAAAAGTGTCTTGGCATGCTTTTAAGGTCGTCAGACGGTTGTCTTCAACGCGGCAGTTCCTTCAATGGCAATGAACCTGTGTAGGGGCCTATAAAGGGGGAGCTTGGAGGGAGGGTTAATTCCAACGTCGTTGATGATTCTTGGGTTTACACTGGTCCTCCTCCGCCTCCTCCTCCTTCTCCTCCCCCAAGATTTGGCTCCTGGGCCCCCCTGGGGGCCTCTGGTCCTCGTGATGGGGTGTTCTGGAGGCCGTGGGAGCCCCCCTGGAAGTCCTGCAGGGCACCTTGCGTCAAGGACACTTCTGGCAGCTCCTCCTCCTCCTCCTCCGCCTCCGCCTCCTCCTCCTCTCCTCCTCCTCCTCCTCCTCCTCCTCCTCCTCCTCCTCCTCCTCCTCCTCCTCCCCCAACCGTTCGCTCCATGCTGCAGCCCCCTTGGGCCTTCTGGTCCTCGTGATGAGGTGCTCTGGACGCCGTGGGCCCCCCCCTTGGACATCCTGCAGAGCACCGTGCGTCAGGGGCACTTCTGACAGCTCCTCCGCCTCCTCCCCCTCCTCCTCCTTCTCATCCTCCTCCTCCTTCTCTTCCTCCTCCCCCTCTTCGTAGTCCTCCTCCACCTCCTCCTTCTCCTCCTCCTCCCCTCCTCCTCCTCCTCCTCCTCCTCCTCCTCCTCCTCCTTCTCCTCCTCCTCCATTCCTCCTCCAATCCTCCTCCTCCAATCCTCCTTTTCCTTCTCCTTCTCCTCCTCCTCCTCCTCCTGCTCCTCCTCTCCTCCTCCTCCTCCTCCTCCTCCTCCTACCCTGGAGGGGGGGGGGGGCGCGGCGCGAGGGGAGGGCGGCCGTCTGAGTGGCCTTGGAGGGAGCGGCTTGGGCCTCTCGGAGGATGGGCCCAGAAGCTTTTGCGAAGCCTTGCGCCACGGAGCCCCCTCGTGGCGCCTCGTCGCGGCCCCCCGCCTTCTCGGAGGGCAGCCCCCCTGCGACACCCCCCCCGGTCGCCCTCCGCCCTGCCGTTTCCCCCCCCCCCCCCCGCCCCCGCCCTCCGCAATGCCGTTGCCCCCCCCCCCCCCGGCACCCTCCCCCCAACGAGGGCTACATCGAAGAACAAAACTGGGCATAAACATGAACTTTCGACGGTCCGCGCGGATTTCTTGGATCCGCGCTTGGACCCCCCGGTGGCGCATCCGTCGGCGCCCCTGGCGCGCTCCGCGAGCCAGGGAGGGGGCTCCTGAGCGGATCCGAGAATCCGCGCGGACCGTCGAGAGTTTATGTTTCTGCAGTCTCTTGTTCGTCTACTACAGGCCGCCACGTCAAACTTTTCAAGTAGGCCATCCCCTTTTTCCCGTACGCATGTCACGGCACGAAGCCCTCCACAGAGACACTCGAGAGTTGAGTGGAGCACCATCCCCCCCTCCTGGACCCTTCCCGCATCCCCCGTTTGCTTTAAGCCGGGCGTGTCCCTCTACAGGAGCAATATCCAAAACAAATAATACAAAAAATAGTCTGGGAACGAATTTGGGAGTGTTGTGGGGCATGTTTGATGTGAGTCTGTACACGTTTTCCGAAGAATTGGAGGCCTTCGGACACGGCAGCGCCTCTGCATGTTGCCTCCGTAGTCGCCCCTTTTTGTTCAAGAAGGCCCGGTCGGGCCGTCGTTTCAGTCACCGCGCACAATCAGCAAAACAAGTTACATTTCCTGTATTCTTTGCTGCGAGACGTGATTGCCTTCAACGTGCCGGCACCAGAGTTGGTCTGCCATTGTCATTTTGAGAGCGCTCGTTGTGAAACGAGCTCGGATGCGGATTGCCATCACATTGAGCGGGTCCTGATCCGTCAACTGGACTCGGTACGGCGGCAGCTTAGCTCGACGGCGACAATATACTTGTTCGTTCGTCTGGTGTTCGGTGTCAGTCTGGTCAGTTTCTTAGTTGGATTGCTTGCCGGAAGTTGTGGTCATCGACGCGCAACGCCAGTGGTGCAGCCTGCACCCGTGGTCGATCAGCTACCCATCACTCGTGTGAAGGACGGCCCGGTTACGCCGTCGACGCTCCGTTCTTCTGAGGGGCCATGAGCGTTCTAGATATCAAAGAAAGGCAGTTTTGGGTTGGTGCAACGATGACCAAGATTGCGCGAAACATCATCGAGTGCTGTTGTTGCTCATCTCCTCGACCGTTTGGGCGGCTCTCACGCCGACATGAGACCCACAGACATTGGAGAATGGGACTGTCAGGTTCGAGCCGCTCGTCCGGGGACGAGATGAGCCTGAGCGATGTTGGAACGACCCTTTTCGAGCCAAGGAGCTGGCGGACTTCGCGGACGAGGATATCGAGGTGGACGACACTGAGGTGCGGGTTATCTCGGGCATGCCGCACCATCGGTTCGACGAGCAGGTGGAGCCGGGAATCCTGGAGGACGCCGGGCGGGGCCTGTTCCGCGAGACCAGGTGCGTGGTTCAGCTCGAAGCGTGCGGCCCGACCTCGGAAGTGCACGTTCAGAAGGTCGACCTCAGCGACCTGACCGACTCGAAGAGCCGAGTGGGAGTCTGGGTGGATCCGCGGCTCCTGGTCGTCTACCGGATCGCTGCTGGCGGGCAGTTCCTGCAGACCAAGGAGGCCGCGGGCCGGGTCGAGGAGACCGAGCGCGGGGACTTTCCCTTCGCCGACTCGCGCGCTGTCAGAGAGTACTTGGGCGACAACCTCGTGGCTGCCGACGGCTCGTTCGATGCCTATCGTCAGAAGTGGCGCGCGGCGGTGGGGGGCCCGTGTAACGGCGGAATTGCTTATGACCACCGCATTGCCCTGGAGGCGCCGCAGTCCAGTCTTCACGCATGTGCACCCTATC